TCAAGCCACAGCTTGATCAAAACCTGAAGATAAATAAAAAAGACACCTAAGCTTAGGTGTCCCGGGCCAACTGGCCCAGCCAGATATTTTCTTCATCATCTATTTTTATCTTATTTTTCGTTTATTTTGGTTAGATTTATGATTTACTCTTTTTTTTTTTATTCAATCTTTTATGCTTTTGGATTAATGCTGACTCTGCCACTGATCTGATAGCAGATCTATTCCTTTTTTAATAGATTTGACCTCATATCAAAATTTGATTTGCTCTACTCACTATCACTTTTTAAATCAATTTGTGGTACATATCTAAGGGAATTTTTTTTTGAAGATCTCTCAGCTTTTCATCGTAAAAAACCCCAAATCATGAATATGCCTCAAAATTTGAATATGCAAATTCTAGTATATATAAAACCTGGTTTTGGCAACAACACTATTTGGGTAGCTTCTGAAAGAACCCAATATACGACAAATCTTCTCTTTGGCCCCACTAAGTTAAAAACCAGGTTTTGACAGCTTACTATTAAATCAGTTTTGCTGTTAACTAAGAGTAATGATACTATGAGACCCTCTTACACCCATGTGAATAGGACCCCAAAGGATCACCATTAAATTTTAATACAGATCTCTAGAAATTTTTCACATAAGTGTGGGACTTGGGTGAATAAGTTTATTGATAACTTTTTTAGAAATTTGTGTCAAAATTTAATGGTGATCCTTTGGGGTCCTACTCACATGGGTGTGAGAGGGTCTCATAGTATCATTACTCTATAACCAAAAAAACGATTTCTTGGAAAAGTATGATAAATAAATTTGACAGTTCAGATCTTAATTTTTAGATCATTTTAGTGACGAATTTTACAACACGCATTCTCTCTTTATGTTAACGATTATTAAAAAGGGAAAAGTTTATATAAGGATGCTACCTTATAATGTAGAACTAGAGATGCCCCTCAAAAATCCATCGGAAAAAGGTAGTTTTAATGTTAAAAAACCCTTTGATTGGTCATCTCGATATCGAGATGTATGACTATGAAAAATAAAAAGATTTTAAGTCTCAGAAATAGTGCATTTTACAACATATTATCTACACTGTCCATTTTCAAGATTTTCATATGTTTATAGCTCTACTTGATTTTAACTATTTTTTAAATTTACAATTTTATCATTAGATTATAAAAATAGATTTTGAGATAATATTAAGAATATTTTACATCAAAATTATATACCATGATAAAATTTGAAGGTGAACCTACCTCTACACCTACGGATGCATCCTATGCAAACTGCACTCTATTAAAAAAACCAACCATAGAATAACATGCACAACTCACTGGTAGTCACAAGGGAAATCAACTAAGTCATAAAACACAGAACTCATATCAGGAACATACTCCCATCTAGATTACATCCCAAGTAGGTTGATCCAGTGCAATTTGGAGATGCTTGGCTAACACATACACGAGAGATGATGAATTCGATCAAGATATGATTCAATTACATCAAGAGAGACATTGATCAATTAACCTTGGAATGGATGCATCAAAAGCAGATCAATTAATCAAATATTAGCGTGATTTTGAGGCACAATATTCATAATAATGCTGCTGAAATTTTCTGATACAAAATCAGCAAAAAACCACGATAATGGTGTGCTCTTTTATTGTTAATTTCGATCTAAAATTTATCAATGTAATTTGCATATGCTTGACCACCACACACACATTTAATGCATGTTTACATTACAAGAAATAGATTGAAAACCATTAAATTCGTTACTGGTTTTCTGCTGTCAAAATATGCAACAGAAAATCTACTCCAATAGTTCAATATAATCACAAAATTATGTTCATTGTGACCCCTAAAATCCTATTTGCTCGTTGATTCTCTCTCCAAAAACAAATAAATACTAATCCACACCTGCAATTGCACGAATCCTGTTGGAAATATGTCATTCAAAAATTAAAGACTTTTAATCATTTGTTATTTCTAAGTTTCTCTAGTTAATTGTGGAACTTTTGGGATTGTTCTAAACATGTAGGATACCAAGGGTCGTTCTTGGGCAAAGAGAAGTGAATTAATGGGGTCTTGAAAATTGATGGAATCCCCTTTAAATAGATGTATTTTGTAATGAAAAACATTGTGAAAATTGTACAGAGGAGAGAAATTATTCAGAGAGGTTCATGGTAGCATTGAGGTAACCAAGAACTCTCCTAGCCATAGCTTCTCCCTCTTATTATTACACTTTTTATTTGTGTTCATCAATATATGTTTGGTCTAAGAAGGGTGCGGACTTTAAACTTTCTCTTATCTCGTCTAAGGTAAAGGAGTTGTGTTAAGTAGGCAGTCAACATAAAACTTTGTCAAAACTTATCATGGATCCTGAACTTCAAACTCATTCTATTAAGAAAGTGGCAAAAAACGTTTTAGGAGAATCTAAAGGAGAAGAAATTTTGATAAGGAAACTTGGTGGTGGAGTGATGAGATTCAGAAAGCCATTCGAAAGGTGGTCACAATAATCATGACCATTGGACATGAAATTGAGTGGCTGTAATTATTCCATTGACCAAGCTCAAACTTCAAAAGAAATTTTTTCAAACTTTGTGACACATCCA